AAGGTGACCTTCCATGCCCAAGACGGTTAAGGCAGTGCTGGAAAATAATGGTGGGCGCACAAAATATGGACACTTTGGGCCCAATTTGGACATTTTCACTTAGGGGTGTACTCACTTTTGTGGCCAGCGGTTTAGACATTAATGGCTGTGTTGAGTTATTTTGAGGGAACAGCAAATGTACACTGTTATACAAGCTGTACACTCACTACTTTACATTGTAGCAAAGTGTCATTTCTTCAGTGTTGTCACATGAAAAGATATAATAAAATATTTACACAAATGTGAGGGGTGTACTCACTTCTGTGAGATACTGTATATTTACATTATATTAATGATTTTTATACTGTATCATCCCCTAAACCTAACCATCACAGTAAACTTTCTACATTTTTATATTTTCATAAACATTTATTATAATTTATATTTTAAAAAGCTGTTATGCTCATGGGGACAATTTTTGCGCAGGTCATTGATTTAAACTATTACTACATTTTTGGTTTGCGAGGACACTCTATATAGGCTTAATGATTTTTATTGTACAAACTGTACACCTACCCATCACACATAAAATTCTGCATATGATTCCATTTTAATTAAATATCGTTTGCAAGTGATCTTGATTATGACGACTCAAGAAATTTCATCATAAACCACATTTACATTGGTATAGCAGTGTAATACCCATGTTATTATACAAATGTGTGTTCTGATAAATAGTATAAACAAGCACGCACAAGATCCTGAAAAAACACAAATGTCAGAGCATGTCAAAACTTAGACTAACCCCTTAGACCCCAGAGGATTAAAGAAGATGATAATAAATATAGAATTAAATATTTCATAGTAACAAACATGTCACTAAAGTAAAGCAAACCATTTATCATATATTTTAAAACATGTATTAAACATTTATTTAAGTTTATTGAACTTATAAAACACCATTCTCTTCTTTTAACCCCTTAGCTGTCAAAGATCGGTGACGGCCCCAGATTATTGTTGTTTCACTTTAACAGCACATTAAAACATCACTCTCTTACTTGATCTGGACAAACTGTGCAGCAGTAGAAAGATTAAAGACTCTAGCTTCGATATTTGACCACTGTTTTGATAAAACGTTGCAGAGACAGCAATTTAGTAATTTATGTCAGGAGTGCAAAATAATAAATCGGTATGTGTCATATTGAGAATTGAAATTCATCACGCATTCATATTCAGTCTTTTATTAGCTTTCTCTAAAAACACACATGACATGGTGTCAGACTCTGTTGCTTGTATTGTGTGTGTTTTGCTCCCCATGCTCCCCCTCGTTATCTGCCCTATTTGAGTTCTAGCCCGTTCTGTTCTCCCTTGTCTGGAATTGTATATGTCTACCCTTGCTACGTGTGTTTTCCTTGTTCCCTGGATGTAATTAAAATCTATATGATTGAATTCCACTCCTCGTCTCCTCGCTCCTTCGTCTCCATGCTCCTCACAGTAGCGAAACGTGACAGAATTCCGGACCTGCAAAAAGTGAGTGGCGCTTCTTCTCCCCGTGTTTCTTTTCTGTTTTTTAAAGTGTTTTTGTAATCGAAAAAGGAGGAAGAGGAGAAATGACTGGCTCAGGGCCCTCTTCCTCGCCCGAGAGCGCGCCCGAGTGCTCGCTTTAGTGTCGGCTCCAGCCCGAGTACTCACTCCAGTGTCGGCTCGAGCCCCAGAGCTTGCTCCAGTGTCGGCACGACCACCAGAGCTCGCTCCAGTGTTTGCACGAACCCCAGAGCTCGCTCCAGTGTCAGCTCTATCCCCAGAGCTCGCTCCAGTGTTGGTTCCAACCCCCGAATCTAGCCCAGTGAGGGCTCCTGTCCCCGAGTTTAGCCCACGGAGGGCTCCTGTTCCTGAGTTTAGCCCACGGAGGGCTCATGTTCCCGAGTTTAGCCCACAGAGGGCTCATGATGTTTCTATGTTTGGCCCACAGAGGGCCTCGGAGCCCCTAATATTCCCCAAGTGTTTTTGGGG